TAAACTTTTCAAAAGCACATTTTCATTTAATAATAAAATTTGTAAGCCATATTTAACATACATTTATATTGTCTCCAAAATTTGAACATCCTCTCTGTCCACCTCTGAGAAAGAAATGGTCGAGGACCGAGATAAACCGAGTGAAATAGGCGTCTCCTGATACATAACCGCCCAAGAATAGAATACTGAACTCTACATCGAGTCAGAGGTCATAACTGCTGTTAATGAAGAAACCATCAAACCCCGTCCTGCATATCTTGCCAGCAGAGAATATTCCTTCTTCCAGTGGAATATCATAATTATAGTGGTTACTATAAAAAAAAAATCAATCAAATTCTTAAGGTTCCTCTTTAAAGCTTCTACAGTGAATTTAATTTGTAGTCAAGATAGCTAACTGTAGCATGTTTTAGTCTTTTTATGAGTATCCAGTTTACTCCGTTTTTCCCTGTTTCAAAAGTAAAATTGTTCCGTCTTATTTAAATTCAACAAAGACAGCCACTTGTCTTTTTTTTTTATTTTATGACCACATAAAGGTTACGAGTCTCTGAGAAATCAATATTTTTTTCTAGCATTGAGATGCTTAGTTTAGGCACATTTTTAAACCTACTAGCAAAAATAAATTGCTTAACAGTAAGTATTAATATATTGTGTAGTCTAAACATGTTTTTGTTGTTGAATTTGCCAAAAAGTATATCCTTTCTATCAAAATTAATGGTAAAATGAAACTTATTTATAAACCATTCCTCAATGTGACACCATATTTTTTTAACGCAGAAACACTCAAAAAATAAGTGTTCAATCGTTTCGACATCTTGTTTACAAAAGGAACATACAGGTGAATCAATTAGTTTGAGATTGTAAAGGTATTTATTTGTTGCAATAATCCTATGCAGAATTTGAAATTGCATCCACTGAAATTTTGCTTCTTTTGTTACTTTAAAAGGAAGTTCAAATATTTTATTCCTGTCTATATCGCCAAAAAATATTCCATTATTTTCCCATTTTTCTAGTGCCTTAATTGCTTCCTTTTTCTTCTTAATGAGTAAACTATACATGTCTTTACAGCCTTTTGTACTTTTATAAAAAATATAAAGTGAATTAGGGATAAAAGGTCCAGTTTCTCTTTTTTCAATATCAATACTTTTCAATGTTTTTAAAACAGCTACTTTTAAACCTGCATATTCTACAAAATTTGTTTTTACGTTAAGATTTGTGAGGTACTCAAGGCTTACAAATTTTCCTTCAGAGTCAAACAGATCTCTTACAAAAACAAAGCCTGCATCGAAATAACTTTTCAAAAATATGGATGAGTTGTTCATTTTAATTCTTGAATTAAACCATATATGTTCATGAAGAATTTGCATATTATTTTGACCAGAGTCAATGATCTTTACCCAATTAAGTAAAACCTCTTTCCAAAACTTGTTACTTATTTTATTACACATATTAACAGTAAAGTCTAAACCTCTTACCCATAGAGATTCAACTTTTATTCCTAATTCTGATTCAAGAAGTTTTAGCCATTTTGTATCTGAGTTAATTAGTCTTCGGATCCATGTTGATTTTAATGCACATAGAAAATCTACATATTCAATCATTTTCAACCCCCCATTTCTATAATCTTGAATCATAACATTTTTCTTAACCTTATGAATTTTACTTCCCCATAAAAAGTAGTACAGGTCTTTCTCAAATTCGTCTAGGAGTTCCTTGTAAGGGTTCGGAATAGTCAATATCAAATGGTTCATTTTTGGTATAATCAGGGATTTAATCACTGCTAATCTACCAACTGGAGTAAGTTTTCTTAACTGCCATTGTTTTATCAACTGCTTTATTTCATTTAATTTTGAGGGGTAATTCAGATCAACCATTTCATCTAAATTAATAGAAAATTTTACACCAAGAAGATCAAAAGTAGAATTATTCCAATCTAACTTCCATCTCGAGTGATGAAAAACTTCTTTGGAAAATTTTTTACTGCCAATCCAAACCATTTTAGTTTTAGTGAAATTAATTTTCAGACCAGATATAAGTGCAAAATAGTCAAGTTCTCTTAATATACCATCCATAGACTGTGGTGATCCATCAGATATAATTGAAGTATCATCAGCATATTGTGAAAGTTTATATTCCTCCCCATCAATTATAATTCCTTTTATGTCTTTATTATTTCGAATCAGAATCCCAAGAACTTCAGCACAAATTAGAAAAAGATATGGGGAAATTGGGTCCCCCTGTCTACATCCCCTCTGAGGGAACAGGTAGTCAGAAGAAATTCCATTCTGTATTACACATGATTTAATTCCATTATAAAAAGTTTGAATCCAATTTTTAATTGACTTCCCAAAATTAAAAAAGTCTAATGTTTGGTATATAAACTTCCATGATATAGTGTCAAAAGCTTTTTCAAAATCAATTAACATTAATAAGCCTGGAATCTGCTTTTGTTCTGTGTAATGCATTAAATCATAAACCAGTCTAATATTTTCACCTATGAATCTTCCCTTTAAAAAGCCAGTTTGGTCCTTATTTATTATTTTATTCAATACGGTTTTCAATCGTTCAGCAATACAGCCTGAGGCTATTTTATAAATCACATTCAACAAACTGATTGGGCGCCAGTTTTTTAAGAATTGTTTTTGTTTTCCTGGTTTTGGTAGGCAAGTTATTATACCTAACTTATTTGATTCAGTAAAGTGTGATAATTCATATGAGTTGTTTATTGCTCTTGTAATAAAGGCACCTATATCCTGCCAAAAGAATTTGAAAAATTCGCAAGTAAAACCATCTGGTCCAGGACTTTTCTCATTTTTCATATTTTTCAAATAATTAAGGACTTCAGAATTGGTCAATGGGCCTTCAAGACTTTCTGATTCTTTTTTATTTAATTTTGGGACATCATATAATTTTAATTTGTCATGAATACTTCCAGAATCCACATTCTCCCTACTTTTATAAAGATTTTCATAGAACATTTTAACTTCATTCAAAATATCAAATTGGTTAAAAATAATTGTTCCATCCTCCTTTTCAATTTTAGGTATAACTTTACTCTGATAGTTTCTTGACTCTAGACTGGTAAAATATTTTGAAGGTTTTTCTCCTTCTTCTATCCATTTTACTTTTGACCTAATACACTGACCCTTAAATTTGATTTTTCTAATGTTCTCTAATTCTTCATGTTTATTTTCTAGTTCTTCAGTAGATTCTTGGGTCAAGTTCTGTTCCAATTTTAAGATTTCTTTTTCTAATCGCAATTCTTGTTCAGCTATTTTCTTTTTCTTATAAGTTGAAAAAGAAATTGATTTTCCTCTTATTTCCATCAGTAATGTATCTAAAAACAATTGATCACTTATAGTAAATTGAATTGTATCAGTTTCAATAGAGTCAATATTATCAAAATTATAGACAGGGCAGGCATATTGTAATTTAATATTTTTAATTTTTTCTTTTATGAGATTTGCATATTCTTTATCAGCAAGTAAAGAATTATTCAATTTCCAAAACCCTCTCCCTTTAAGAAATTCATCTGTTTTAACACCCATGACAACTGGACAGTGATCTGAACGATAACTATTTTCAAATTTTACGTAAGGGGCCAAATTGAGTAATGATTCTGATATTAGGAAATAATCAAGTCTTGCTTGTTTTATTGGATTTTTTCTTCTCCAGGTAAATCTTTTTAAATTTGGACTATTTTCACGGAAAATATCTTTTAAATTTAGTGTCTCCATCATCTTCAAGACTTCCATTCTTGATTTCGGGTTATTTAGGTTTTTATAATTCATAGAATCCAGATCCTTATCTAAAATCAAATTAAAATCACCACCTATAATCACATATTGTGATGAGTAGTAATCTTGAATCATGTTTAAAAGATTTGTGTAAAAGGTTGGTGTATCTAAATTTGGTCCATATATATTTACTAACAAAAAAGGAAGATTGTCTATGGTTACATCTAGAATGAGATAATTGCCATTGTCATCTTTATATTCTTTAACTAATGTCATATCACAATTATTATTAATGAGGATAGCTACTCCTCGTGAATTTGATTTGTACGAACTAAAAAAAGCCTTATATCCCCATAATATTTTAATTATGCTTTCATCTTTTTCAACAAAGTGTGTATCTTGAAGAAAATACACATTTAATTTTTTTCCTTTTAAAATTTTGAAGACATCCCTCCTTTTATTCATATCCCCTAATCCTTGGCAATTTAATGTAAGTATTTTTAGGAAGTTTTCATGTGGATTGTCATCCATTCCAAAGTGGATGCTTAGCAAAATTTACTGTTCCCCAACAGCAAGAAAAAAAAGAGTTGATAAAAAAGTTCAAATCTATATACAATACAAAGAAGTAGTTGAGCTCAAACACGCCTACTGTCATTTCAAAAATATGCAAAGTTTACCAAAAACCTAACTTTATGCTAACCTTAAAAAAAAGAATTGTTAAAATTATAGAAAAGTAGTTTCGGTTGGGAGGAAACCTATATACTCAATTCCTTTCCTGTTCGTTTTTTTTCCAGTTTGTTGTAGTTACCATGTTTGTTATATCTATTAACGGAATATGTCTGCAATGTAATTACAACAAATATTTATCCATACCATATTTTTATACTATACACTAGATTAAAATTGAAATTATGCACATAGATCCGCCCTGTGTTGAGTGATAAGGTAGAAAATTGATCGAAACTTACAAGTAAACACGATCCATGTTGCACGATTTCTACACCGGAAATCAAGACTTTAAAAATAATCCAAAATTGCGATGTATAAACTAGCAAATTCCGGAAAATATCAAACACAAACTTAAATAAATATATACATGCAGCATGAATATAACCCTATGAAAAACTACTGAAATAAATATTTTAGGCATTACAAATTTGCCATGAAAGTTAAAAAAAAATGTACACAACTGTTAACTGTGAGTTAACTGTGAGTTACTATTAATATATATTTAACCTGTGACTGTTCATGATTTTGATTTTAGCGTCAGACGGGGACTGGCATATTTCTTGCTGCACTTAACCCAACCTCGTTGATATGTGTGAAACGTCTGGGTCCGATTTTACTACCACACCACCGCGAGACGACCACCAGTGCGTTATTTATATCATTATCAGCGAGTGCTTTGAGTAACATTCTCCCGGCTCCGTGCTCGCCGTCATCTTCAGATCCCTCATGCGCTGTTCCATCACTAGTGGAAAATCGGAACGCATATATATTGTGACTTGCACTGGCAGTGTTTTCTGTACGCACAACTTCCACAAGCGATCGCCTCACCTGTTTATAGGAATCTACTGGCGTTGAGTGGGCAGCAAACCGGTTTCCATTATCTTCTGTGGTCTTCCCCGTACTGATCGCGATCTTTACCTCTTCTCCACTGATGATCTCATCGGCCATAGGTCGGCTACCAATTTTATCTCTATACACAGATTTGCTTTGTGTGAAAATGAGTTTTTGACCCTTCAACACGGTCTCTATGTTACGGTCCGCGTATTGTTTCTGTACATCATATAGGTGTTTCCTTTTTTCTCTGATTTCTTCCGGTTGATGTTGGGACACTCTTATTGGTGACTGCTTATCCTTAAGAATTTTAATGTGCCTCATTACGATATCTTTGTGTGATTTGTTCGCAAATTGAACACAAATTGGCCTAGGATATTTTCGTTGTTTATCGTACTCACCCATTCTGAACAATTTATAGATCTGTAGGTTATCCACAGTCTCTGCTATCTCCATCTCTGCAGTGAACACGTTGCTAATGATCTTGGCAAGGTTTTCTGGATTTTTAATCTCGGGCGCCTTTTCATCTACTCCACTCACTATGATATTATCTTCCATTGCTCTAGTTTTAAGCTCTAGAATTTGCTCACTTTGAGTCTTTACACAATACTCCAGTCGAACTATGTAATCCTTCATTCGGCTAAGTTCTCTTTCCATCTTCTTCTGTTTTTCATGCAGCTCAGTGGTTATATATATCGTATCGTTCGCTTGTTCTTGTACACTTTCTAATCTCTCCTGAATGCCATGTTTTCCTCTGATATCCTTTGTGACTTCATCAAGATGGCGACCTTGCCCATCTATCCTTAGTAACAGGTTGGCCAGAGTGTTTTGAATATTATTTATACCATGCATAACATCTCTCATATGAAAGTCTCCAGTTTTTTCCGAAATCTCCCCATCGCTAGTATGAGTGTCCATATCATCAAGCCCTCTCTTTTTTGATTGATTTAACTGGCTAGCCATGCTTGTAACGGTCAAACGTTTAAAGACACAGTATGAATATCGCTCACCGGTGCTCACAAACAAATATGTTCACAACTTTTGTGCCTTCAAATTCCCGAGCCTATTTCAATTGTTTTTCGTTTAAAACTCACTCCGACACACTTTAAAACATATTACATACAAGCAACACTTTTTTCAACACACAAATTAATAAATTTCCAGGTTTTTGGCTCAACTTTTGCTGCCGATAAAAATTAACGTCCTACATGTCGGGCATGCGCAAACCCCCTCGTGTGCCAGCTTAGCACTGAAAACAAAACATCAAAGACACCGACATTTTTCAAAGTCCACGCAAAAGCGTGGACCAAGGGTCCACCGTGGCCGGTGTTTTCCGGAAGATACTCGTGAACTGTACTGTACATGTAGATGGATTACTTTTAATAAAAAAAAATAATAAATCTGTAAGTTAATGTATATGTCGTATACGTTTATACTTAAACAATTCACGAGATTTATTTTACCATTAAACAATAAGTAAACAATTTCCAAATGTTTTAAATACTATTTCGAATATTCTAAGTATTGCCATTTTATTTATTTTGACATGTTGCATTTATATAAAAGAAATATTTGCATGTATTTTGACAACCATAGAAAAACATATTTATTCAATCATTAGAATTTGTAAATATTTTTCATCTTGTGAACATGAATTTAATACCATAAAAATGCACGCCAGTCTTAAACCTAATTTGCGAGACAGAAGAATGCTGTGTTGTGCATACGAGTTCTCATTTGTTTTACTGCAAATAAGGCCATTCCAAGTTTTTTCTATGTTTAGCGTCCGCGTGCGTCTTGGTTTTTGACACCCCATATCAGAAAAAACAAACAAAATTAGGACTCCTGAAATTGAATATTCTGGTCGAAATCCATGAATTCTGTCAATTTCTCTAAATATTTGTCTACAGTATGCCATATTAGGAATATTGTAAGCATTTAATACCTTGATTTTGCTGAAGAATAGGTATTTCTACGTGTAAAGATAGATTAACCATATTAACAAAATCAAATCCTTTGAATGACGTCATTTTTGTGACTATATTTTTTGGTTTGTGTGATTTTTGCGAATAGGTAGGTAGGTTTTTGAAAGAAGGGTGGACGCTAAACATAGAAAAAACTTGGAATGGCCTAAAGTACATTGTTTGCTGTGCGTAATCATTTTTTCCCTTGACACTTGCTGGCCTTTTGTATATGATTAACTGCTGCAGTGCTGTCGTAAGCGGGTCACATACAAGTAGACGTTGATCAGATAGACATCAGGTGTTTTTGTGTTATTTTTACTTTATTTAGTTTTAATGGGCCAGCCTGGAGTTTTAAATATGTAAATAAAATTTGATTAATTGATTTAATTTTGAAATAAGTTATCTCTATCAATCTGTGCGACTTAGACGACCATAATGTGACCAGTGACGAATTTACCGAGAAAATGCGCGGACATTTCCTGGCGGCGGACATAATATGACGATATTTTCGGAAGAAAGGCGGACATTTCATGACGGCGGACATAATGTGACGATTTTTTCGGACGAAAGGCGGTCATTTCGTGGCGGTGGACATAGTGTTACCATTTCTTTTTTCTTTTTTGGGGGGAAAAAAGGCGGACATTTCGTGACGGCGGACATAACGTGACAATTTTTTTGAAAAAGGGGGACATTTCGTGACGGCGGACAAAATGTGACGGCGGATAAAACGTGACTCAACAACCATCAAAGTAACATTCAAAAGATAAAAACTATCAAGTTTTCATGCCTTTCTTTTTTTAAATCTGTATATGTATATCAATCGGTCGGTTGCACCTCATCCGCCTGATAAACAGATTTCGAATACATTTGCTGATTGAAAAAAATTTGGGCACATATATTGAAAATAAAATTACCTACGTTCTTATCGAATTAATTGACGGGTGATTCTGATATTTATTCACATCCAACACCAACCCCCCCAACCCCCCAACCCCCCCCCCCCCCAAAAAAAAAAAAACGTAAAAAAAATTAATTTATCCACTTTACTTGTAATTTCGCCAAAACTTAGAGCAGTTCATTAATTTGTTATTAATACATTTCATGAACATTTGACAGCGTACTCTCCACAAGAACGATATAAATGGGAATTAATAGTCAGTGTTTAACGAAAAGAATGATTTCCTTTCAATTATGGAATTTAAAATAAATGGTAATTCAATTTAATAACTCAAGTTTCAAGGTCATCTTATCGCGTTTGTTATTTTTTTTTTTCATAAGGAATGGTACGTAATTTTTATACTAATATAAAAATCTGGAAAATGGGTTAATATAATCTACATGTAAACCATTTCTTGTTATTGATGAAATCCCTCTCAGTTTTCTATTAGCCAATGCCTACAAAATCATGCTTTCTCGTCCAAAAAATGAAAAATCAGGAGAGAAAAAACGACCTTTAAGGAGAATACGCACGACAAGTCAACGACAGATTTTTTGCGTGAAAAAACTGTGAATATTTGTTTGCAATGTACAGACCTTTTCAGTTTATTATACATTTCTATGAGAATAGAATTTAAAGGATAAAACTTACTTTACTCAATGTTATCATAAAACAGCCCCCCCCCCCTCCACCGCTTCATAAATACTGTGCATCTTTTTTTTTAATTTGCCTTTGGATATTTTTTTTTGGGGGGGGTGGGTCTGTGACGGTACGTATTGTTGTTTTGTACATATTGTCGTCGGCGACAATATGTACCTACCCTCACTGCACATATTGTCGTCCATCAGTGCATATTGTCGACTGACAAGTTACACATGTACATATTGTCGCTGGCGACATTATGTGCCTCACCCTCTTTGTACATATTGTCGCCCCACAAATTTTATTGCTTAAAGATTTCTTTTGCTGTTTCTTTGAAGAATGTAATTGGTGTGTGAATCACTCGTGAGCTATTTCATGCATCGTGATTGTGACGGCACATTTTGTCGTCCTGTTCATATTGTCGCCGGAGACAATATGTACCTACCCTCACTGCGCATATTGTCGTCCATCAGAACATGTCGTATGACAATGCACGACAATGCTCCATATAAAAATGACTAACCATTGCTTTGCTGATTCTAAGAAGATAATTTTTAAAGAATTTTCCCATATATTCTTATGTTAAACTTTGATCGCCCATTGTGGCCCACCCTAGGCCCGGTTTGATTTGAAGATACTCGAATCTGCGCTACCTGAGGATGTTTCTATATAAACATCACTAATCACAGGCCTACTGCTCTGCGCAGTGGTGGATCAAGAAATTTCAGAACAGAGAGAGAGAGAAGGGGGTGCGGTTCAGATTTTTTTGGAAAGCAAAAAATTCATTTGTATGTAAAGGTGTGTTACTGTATATGTTAAATAAATTATTTAAATATGAAATTTTAGCTGTGGTTTCAAAAGGGGGAGAAACTTTCCAAAAAAAAAAAAAATCTGACGAGCCAAAAAAAAAAAAAAAAAAAAAAAAAAAAAAAAAAAATGTGACTGTGAAACACTCATGCCCCCGTATGGCAACTTATAACAAAGGTTAAACTTTCTCAAATGCAAATTAAATATGTTGATCTTGTCTCGAGGAATAAACCTGTAAAATATGAAAGCCCTGAAACCATTGAATAGATATGAAAAAGGTTAAAGTTTTATCAAAAGTATGTCAAACATCAAGGTCAAGATCAAAATTAATTGTGCCTAAGAAAAGGCCTTCTCCCAAAAAAATTCAGAGGTGAAATATGAAAGCTGAAGCACCAATCGTTCAAAAGTTATGATCAAGGTTAAAGTTTTCCAAAAGAAGGTCAAACTCCGAGGTCAAAGGGCCAAAGTTGTTGGTATCAAATGAAAGGCCTTGTCACAAGGATTACATATGTGAAGTATAAAAACCATAGAACCAACCGTTCAAATGTTATGGCCAAGGTTAAAGTTTTCCAAAAGTAGGTCAAACTCCAAGGTCAAAGTGTCAAAGTCTTTGATATCCAAAGAAAGGTCTTGTCACAAGAATTACACATGTGAAATATGAAAGCCCTAGCACCAATTGTTCAAAAGTTATGACCAATGTTAAAGTTTTCAAAGGTAGGTCAAGCTCCAAGGTCAAAGGGTCAAAATTGTTTGTATCCAAAGAAAGGTCTTGTCACAATGATTACATACGGATAAATATGCAAGCCCTAGCTCCAGTTATTCAAAAGGTATGGCCAAGGTTACAGTTTATCGAAAGTAGGTCAAACTCCAAGGTCAATGTCAAAGGGTCAAAGGTTTTGGTATTTAAAGGAAGGTCTTTTCACAAGGATTACATATGTGAAGTATGAAAGCTGAAGTACCAATCGTTCAAAAGTAATGGACAATGTTAAAGTTTTTCAAAAGTAGGTCAAACTCCAAGGTCAAGGTCAAAGGGTCAAAGTTGTTGGTATCCAAAGGAAGGACTTGTCACAAGGATTACACATGTGAAGAATGAAAGCCTTAGCACCAATTGTTCAAAAGTTATGGCCAAGGTTAAAGTTGGATAAAATTTTGCAAAACTGGGTCAAACTCCAAGGTCAAGGTCAAAAGGTCAAATATGGTGGTACCCGAAGAAAGGTCTTGTCACAAGGAAAACACATGTGAAATATGAAAGCCATAGCTCCAACCAATCCAAAGTTAACGGCAATGTTAAAGTTGTTGAGGACAAACAGACAGAGAGACAGACAGACGGACGGACAGGGCAAAACCTATATAACCCCGAATCTTCGATACGGGGGCATAAAAAATCATCCAGAAGCATTTTAACACAAACTTGTGTTCATCATGATGCCTGTTTACTTATCAAATATTTCTGTTGCATATCTATAGATAACAGTTTAAATCCGAGTGGTGTTCATTCGACTAGACAATATGGATAACCTTGAGGGAATAGTTTGACGGTGACAATTATTTCCGGGCCAGACGGCGGGAACCCGAACTAGATAACCCCAGAGTAGTCTTGATCAATGGAAGACAACTCCATTAACTTTTGATTTTTCCTTTTT